ACCTTGACATTCTTAAGTATTTTCAAAAGATATTTATTTATTGATTTCATTGCTCTGGGTCTTGGTTGCAGAACGCCAGATCTTTGATCTTCATTTCAGCATGAGGGATCTAGTTCCTTGACCAGACGATCAAACCTGGGCCCCCTGCTTTGGGAGGGTGGTCTTAGTCACTGTACCAACAGGGAAGTCCCAACATTCTTAAGTATTATAATCATCTCCTGAACTATAAATTCTGGGTTGGGATCAAGGGTGAGGAGGGCAGAGAGGAGACCCCTCAGTTCCAAGCTGCCTCCCCAGGGTTATCACAGAGGAGATTAAATGGGGCTGGGTTACATGGCCCCATGGGAAACACATTGCTTCGATATCACTCCAGCCCATGCACTCAACTATAATCCTGTGAGAAGGATCGGGATTCGAATCCTAGGTTCTGACCCTAGAACCATTACAGACACCAGACAGCATCACTTTCATTCTAGTTCTGCTCAGACTGGCCAAGTACTCAAGTCACATGGCCTGTCTGAGCTTATCTTTTCTTCACTGAGTTGTTAGGATCCGCCCTGCTTGGTGGGTGGTGGCTGGAGGGAGCGGTGTATCCCAGGGGCAGGTAGCTCTCCGCACCTGGCCTGCCCTGCAGACCAGCCTCCCGGAGTGGGGACGTCTCCTCTCCTTGGGCCCTGCTGCCCTCTGCTGGTCAAGGTCCAGCTGCCTGGCCGGTGCCCAGGGGGCGGTCAGGAGCCAGGGCTGGGAGTCCCCGTGTCCAAGTGCCCAGCTCTGCCACTCACTGCTGTGGGTCCCACTCTCCAACTTCCTGAAACTGTTTCCTCAGCTGCAAAGCGTGGGCATGGAAATGCTGACCGGGGAAGGACGTGCGGTATGTCACGTACAGCGCCCGGCCAGACCGGACTCTGAGATGCTGATCTGATGGGCAGACAGGAGCAGGAGTTCCAGAACAACGGTGCTGCAGAGGCGTGGGCGCAGGAGCTGAGCTCTATGCGTCTTTCCTTCATTGACGCCCCACCCCCGCCCTGGAATGCCCAGCTCCCTTCCTGTTTATCTCAATGGCAGGAGCAGGCTGCTCAGCGAACTTGAGACGCTCCCCTCCCATGCTGCTTGGGTCAACACTAGAGCTCCCGCGTCCCGCTCGCCCCCTCACCCTCCTCCTGGTGTGCAGTGGCTGGAACAGGGCCGCACGTGGTAGACAACCAATATATAATTCCTAATCCAGAAAAGCTATGACAAACCTAGGCAGCGTATTCAAAAGCAGAGACATCCGTTTGCTGACAAAGGTCCATATAGTCAAAACTATGGTTTTTCCAGTAATGTGTGGATGTGAGGGCTTCCCTGGTGGGTCAGACGGTAAATCATCTGCCTACAATGAGAGAGACCCGGGTTCGATCCCTGGGTCAGGAAGATCCTCTGGAGAAGGAAATGGCAACCCACTCCAGTACTCTTGCCTGGAAAATCCCATGGATGGAGTAGCATGGTAGGCTACAGTCCATGGGGTTGCACAGAGTCGGACATGACTGAGCGGCTTCACTTCACTCACTATGGATGTGAGAGCTGGACCATAAGGAAGACTGAGCGCTGAAGAATTGATGGTGAAGAGCTGACTCATTGGAAAAGACCATGATGCTGGGAAAGATTGAGGGCAAGAGAAAGGGGCGGCAGAGGATGAGATGCTTGGATCGATGGCATCACTGACTCAATGGACATAAGTTCGAGCTAACTCTGTGAAGCAGAGAAGGACAGGGAAGCCTGGTGTGCCACAGGTCGCAAAGAGTGGAACGTGACTTTGCAACTGAACAACAATCCAACACATGGAGTGTGTGCCCTGCCCTCAGTCCTGGACCAGGCTCAGTGTCCCCTCAGCAAACATGAGCCGAGGAGGAGATTCTAACCCATCCTCGTGCCTCCCCTCCAAGGGTCCGGCCTGCCCTGCAGAGAGCCGTCTCCCGCGTACACCACGTCCACTCCCCTCTGAGGCTGCCCGTCCTTGGCATCAGGGTCCCTCTCAGGCCTGGGATCAGATTGAGAAGAGGGGACAGACATCCCTCTAACACTTCCATGCTTGCCCCTGCTTTACAGCCCCTAAAACAATTTTGTATAGATAAGTCGCTTCAGTTGTGTCTGGCTCTCTGCGACATCATGGATGGTAGCCCACCAGGCTCCTCTGTCCATGGGCTTCTCCAGGCAAGAATACTGGAGTGGGTTTTCATTTCTTCCTCCAGGGGATCTTCCCAACCCAGGGACTGAACTCACGTCTGTCACGTCTCCTGCACTGGCAGGCAGATTCTTTACCATTAGCACCACCAATCACTCTAGTTAGTAGTTAACACTGACTAGTGAGTGAGCAGACAATAGTAGCATTAACTCATATAATCCAACTCCGGGAGGGAGATCCTCCTCTGCCCTTCATTTCGTTGTTCGGTTGTCCAGTCGTGTCTGACTCTTGGCGACCCCAAGGACTGTAGATGCCAGGTGTCCCTGTCCTTCACTATCGCCTGGAGTTGGCATAAACTCATTTTACAGACAAGGAAACTGACACCCAGACAGCGCTGATGACTCCTCCAAGGTCACAGAATTGGTAAATCGCAGAATCAAAATTGGAAACCAGGGAAATCCATACTCTGATTTATCACAAGCATAGAGCATGGAGATCAAGCCCAGGAATGGAGGGTGGGTGGTCAGCTCTTCCGCTCTGCTTTGGATCTCTCTGCCCCTCTGTCTGGTCTCAGGATCTGTTGAAGCCCTAGCTAGTGACTTCGGGGTGACTCCCGGGGAACTGTGACTTTTCGATCCTCCAGGGGAGGGGCCCCCAGGAGCAGGAGTCAGGAGAGAGCAAAGAGGGTGGCCCGAAGTGGCTGATCTGCCAGCCACCAACCCCCTCCCACACCCAGACGTGGGGCCCCGGGGAGCTGTCTTGGAGGAGGAGAGTAAAGCTTCGTGACTCAGAGACAGTGTGCCCCACCCTCCCTGCCGGAGGATGCCAGGGAGTGTCCTGTCCTGGGGAAAATAACTTGGGGTCCCCACCCCTTCCCCTCGCTTTCCCGGCAGACACCCCCAAGGCTGGGCGGAGGCGGCGTAGAAAAATGTAGACACTTGCCTGTCTGTGGCTCCTGGCCCCAGCTGGCCTCCGGGCTGAGCCTTCTCCAGGCTCCCACTCGTCTGGCCGTGCCCACCCTACCAGGCGGGTTGGGAGGAATTGAAAGCCGGGCTTGACGGTTGAGGAAAAGAAAGAGGCGGACAACCCACAACAACAACCCCGGCTCCAGGGATGCCCCGCTCCCTGCACCCCCCTCGGGACCCCTGGGATGGCTCGCGTCCTGAAGCTAGAAACCAGCCACCTGGTGGTTCCCACCTCTGGCAGCCCCGCAGGTGTCTCGGGCCGAGGGTGAGGCCTGCATTCTTCCTTTGCTTTCAGCATCCCCACCCTCCCCGCGGTCCACCCTCCCCACAGCCACAGCTTCCCAGCCCAGAAGTCCCCCGGCCTTGACTTGTGGCGGCTTGTTCCTCCTGTCTGGGTCTCTACAGCTGCCCAACTGGGTCCTGCTCCTGCCTCCGCCCTCCCGGCCACCCTGCCTGGTCCCACCACCAACTGCGTTGTCCTAAGGCATCCAACCCGGCCTCTCCCACTGCACGGGGAACGAAGACCCAGTTCCTTCGGCCAAGGACCCACGCACAGACAGCACACGCTCTCATGTGTAGGCAGGTTCGCGTGAGTGCGGTGAAGCGGGAGCCAGGAAGCCGGCAGGTCCACCGGTGTTCTGCAGAAGGTGGCCTCTGAGCCGGACTCTGAAGGATGTGGGGGTAGAGGGGCTTGGAACAAGCAGTGACCAGGAGGAAGGGCAGGCCGAGGTGGGGAAAGCGCTTCAGCAGGAGGCTTCGAGCCTGGGCCAGCTATCGGGGTGTGGCTAGAGCATCAGGTGTGCTAGGCTGGGAGGGTGGGCTTTGGTTGGGTGCAAGAGACCTCCCACGTCCCCACCTGGGAAGTTAGACCTCCTCTGGGCAGGGGGCTGCAAAAGGCTCAAGTGACTGGATCTGTGCTTTGGAAGGTGTCTGGTGGTGAGGAGGATGAAGGAGGCTGAGAGCCTGGAGGCTGGGAGACCGGAGAGGTCCAGGCAGGAGAAGCTGAGGTCCCGAAGTGGGGCATTGCTTTGCGGCATTCATCATAGATTTCTTTTTTTTTTTTTTAATAAAAAAAATTGTATTTACTTAGAAGCATTCAGAATGTCAACAAAACAGCTGCAACTTTTTTTCTTTTTCTTTTGCAATTACAGAGTGGTATTCAGTTAACAGAACAACAATTATTCGTATAAGCTGCATCAGAGACAACTGAAGATGAAAAAACTACCATCCCCATATATAACTAATTTGTGCTGTGCACCAACAAGAACCTGCTTTAAATTTCCATGCCAATTTACAACCCCCATACTGTACCAGGCAAGGTTAGTGGCTATTGAAAATACCACCAGGACAGGGCTATCTAAAGACACATTCGGTAGTGTGTTAACTATACAAAAAAAGACACTGTACAGTTTAAAAACAAATCTTACACAGCCTTACATTTCAATTTTTTTTCTTTAAAAGGAGTGAGTTGTGTACAGGGGGGTTAAATGCTTTATAGACAAGAAAAAAAAAACTGCGCTAGAACCAACTTATTCATCATCATCATCTTCTTCCTCCTCATCCTCTTCATCTTCTTCCTCCTCCTCATCCTCTTCATCTTCCTCATCTTCCTCCTCTTCCTTCTTTTTCTTGCTTTTTTCGGCCTTAACAACTCCCTTTTTTGCTGCATCAGGCTTCCCTTTAGCTCGGTATGCAGCAATATCCTTTTCATACTTTTCCTTCAGCTTAGCAGCCTTCTTCTCATAAGGCTGCTTGTCATCCGCAGCAGTGTTATTCCACATCTCTCCCAGTTTCTTTGCAACATCACCAATGGACAGGCCAGGATGTTCGCCTTTGATTTTTGGACGATACTCAGAACAAAACAAGAAAAAGGCCTAAGGAGGCCTCTTGGGTGCATTGGGATCCTTGAACTTCTTTTTTGTTTCCCCTTTAGGAGGGATATAAGTTTTCATTTCTCTTTCATAACGGGCCTTGTCCGCCTTTGCCATGTCTTCAAATTTTCCTTTCTCTTTAGCAGACATGGTCTTCCACCTCTCTGAGCACTTCTTAGAAAACTCTGAGAAGTTGACTGAAGCATCCGGGTGCTTCTTCTTGTGCTCCTCCCGGCAAGTTTGCACAAAGAATGCATATGATGACATTTTGCCTCTCGGCTTCTTAGGATCTCCTTTGCCCATGTTTAATTATCTATCCTCCGCGAGGCACAGAGTCGCCCAGTGCCCGTCCGGCTCTCACTTGCCCCGGCGCTGTCTCTATGGAGCTCAATGTACTGCAATGCTCATCATAGATTTCTTCAGTGCTTCCTCTATGTGAAGCATTGGTGTTTGCTTTTAATTTTTTTGAAATTTTTTGGCAGTCACTGGGTTTTTGTTGCTGCACGAGGGCTTCTTGGGGGTTTCTCATTGCAGGGTGCAGGCTTAGTTGCCCTGCAGCCTGTGGGATCTTGGGGGCGTCCCAGGTGGTGCGAGTGGTAAAGAACCTGCCTGCCAAGGGAGGAGACAAGAGACGTAGGTTCGATCCTTGGGTGGGGAAAATCCCCTGGAGGAGGGCATGGCAACCCACTCTAATATTTGTGCCTGGAGAATCTCCATGGGCAGAGGAGCCTGGTGGACTAACAGTCCATGGGGTTGAAGCGATTTGGACACAACTGAAGCGACTTAACACACACACAAACACGTGGGATCTTAGTTCACTGACCAGGGATGGAACCCACGTCCCCTGCCCTGGAAGGTGGATTCTTAACCACCAGACCACCAGGAAGTCTCCTAGGGGCATTGTTGGGAGGCACTGTGCTGTCCTTAGTCGTTCAGTCGTGTCCGACTCTTTGTGACGCCATGAACTGTAGCCCGCCAGGCTCCTCTGTCCATGGGGATTCTCCAGGCAAGAATCCTGGAGTGGGTTGCCATGCCCTCCTCCAGGGGATCTTCCCAACCCAGGGATTGAGTCCAGGTCTCCTGCATGGCAGGTAGGTTCTGTACCATCTGAGTCACCAGGAAAGCCCTTTGGAGGCACAGAGGATCCCAACAAATCCAGCCTGTGCTCTCAAGGAGCTGGCAATTCAGTGAGAGACCCGATTGTATCAAACAGTGACGAGCTCTCCAAGAACAGAAAGAAGCACAGCCCAGGATAGGGGGCTGGGGCCTGGCTGGAGAGAAGTGGGTGCATGAACTTGGGACTGAACTCCACCCCGCAGGGACCCTCCTCCCCAGCAGCCCCATCAGACCAGGCACGTGCCCGGTCCCCACTCTGTGTGGTGTGGCCCCAGGAGCCCCTCCCCTCCCACTGTACGCCTGTGGCCCTCCCGCCTCTCTGCCCCCATTCTGCTTCCGCTCTGCCTACGGAAAGCAGTTCTCCCCAGACCTTGGCCTCCCAGCCCATGTCCTGGGCGAAGTGCAGCAATGGTCTGAGCTGAACTTCAGTCTTCTTCCGGCCATGTGACCCTTTTCTCCAGGAAACCTCAGTGTTTGAAGGCCTTCCACTGATTGGATGAGGCCCACACAGGTTATGCAAAGTAATCTATTTTACTCAAAATCTACTAATTGAAAAGTAATCATATTGAATAAATACCTTCACAGCCTCTCAACTGGCATTTGACCCAATAACTGAGCCCTGTTAACCTCATCAAGTGGACATTTAAATTTTTTTTTGTTCTGGGTGCACCGAGCAATGTGCGAGATCTTCATTCCCTGACAAGGGGTCATACCTGGAACCACAGCAGTGAAAGCGCTGAGTCCACTGGACTGCCAGGGAAGTCCCAACATTGATTATTTAAAACATTTTTTAAAACTTATTAATTTTTGACTGTGCTGGGTGTTCGTTGTTGCTCAGAGTGAATCTCTACACTGGGTCTTAGTTGTGGCATGAGGGGTCGGTTTTCCTGACCAGAGATTGAACCCAGGCCCCCTGCATTGCGAGCGCTGAGTCTTATCTGCTGGGCCACCAAGGACATCCCAACAAGGCAGAATTTATTCTTCCTATTTATCAGGTGAGAAGGTTGACTCTCCAGGACCAAACCCATCAGTCCATCACCTTCTTGTTAATACTGTCAGTCTCCTTGTCCTGAGTCTCTTGTCTGCCTTGTAAAACTTCACACAGCATCTGATGGACTCTCAAGGGACCACGAGGCACTCATTTCCCCCATGCTCACTGGGCAGTCTCTCTTCCATGGAACTGCCTTCTCTCTCGTAGCTTCCCAACCACCCCTGCATGCTGGAATTAAGATCCTGTCCTCTGTGGCACTGCACACAGACTTGGCTTTAAGAGCACAAACTGTGCCCTGTTACACCCGTAGTTCTTCTCATAGCACTGGGGACCTCACAGAGCTCCCTGGGCACCAGGCTGTTGGAGGCATAGATGATGGAGCCTCTGGTTAACCCAGGGAGGGAGCCTGATCCAGACATCCTGCTCAGCATCTTGCCCTCCCGTAAAGAACGTACTGGGCAGCCCTGCTCTACTCCATGTGATCCAGTCCATGTTCCCTGCATTCCTCCTTTATTCCTGGCACTGTGCTAGGCACCTGACAAGCATTTTGCCACTTCACCCTCACAGCAACCCTCTAGGGTGGGCAGGATGATCTCTGGTTGCCAGACGGAATTGTTAAGGCTGGAGGAATGTCACGCTCATAAAATCACCTGGCTCTGGAAAATGACAGGACTAGGATTCCAACCCAGATCTTCGACTGACTCCAGAGACGGAGCACTCTGCCTGTCTGCAGCGCCAAGGGGCCAAGCCACATCCCCAACAAAGGGACGAGGAAGACAGACAGCCTTCTTCAGGGACGCCCAGGTCTGGTGCAAGAAGTCAATGTGACTAGCTTCTTAGCAGAATAACTATCAAGGGTTCCAGGGACTCACATTTCAGGAAATTAGAGATGTGTGAGCTGGGCTTAGCTCACTGGGTTGGGGAGGGCAGGAAGGGGAGAAGAGAAAGAATATTCTGGGCATGGGGTGTGCTTGGGGGAGGAGCAGCTAGGCTAGAAATCTAGGCCAGGAACAGTCGTTTCCCACCCCTGAGCAGCTTATATTAAGACCCTGGAGTGGAGCCTGTAATCCAGGTGGGGTTTTCTGAGCAGGTCCCTAACATCGCTTCCTCTGTCTCAGCTCAGCTCTGTAACCTGAGCTAGGAGCCCTCACCTGGAGGAAGCAGCCCCACTCCTGGAGCTGTTTCTAATGAAACTGAGGGGGTGGGTGTTAGTGGCTGGTTTGGTGTGCGTGGACCTCATGCAATCAGTCGAAGGTCTTAAGAGAAGAGACTGAGGTTTCCCAAGGAAGAAGGAATTCTGCCTCAGGTCAACAACACAGAAATGCTGCCTGAAATTTCCAGTCTGCTGCCCTTCAGAATTCAGACTCAGGACAGCAACATCAACCTCCAACCTGTCCTACAGGTTTTGGACTTGCCAGTCCTCAAAATTGTGTTTTTGAGCTGATTTCTTAAAATCACCTTCTGAATATACATCCTTTGGTTCTGTTTCTCTGGAGAACTCTGACTGTACAATACTATAGACTGTACAGTTATACCTGTGTAATATACTATGTACATTACACCCGTGAATATTATCAATTGTATTTATCAATTGTATTGTATGTATAAATAAAAGTGATACTTGTGAACCTTTTGTGAGCACCCAGTGTGTGCCAGGCACCAGCCTCTTTCACAGGCAAGAGGCCCAAGTGACTTGCCCAAGGTCCAAAAGTGATAGCCTGGTTTAGATCCAGGTAGTTATACTAGACCCAGTGCCTACACAGGGTGTGTTTTTATCCCCCACATGGAACACGTGTGTAAAGGCATTTCAAAACAAGAGGCATGACGCAACGGACAAGTGATGTCATCTTAAAGTGTTTACCACTGGGATGGGCAGGGGGAAGTGGGGTGGGAGGGTCCCGAAGGCACAGCCCTGAGAAGAGCCACAAGGTGGCGCCAGGGCACACAGGCCGCTCCAGGATGTGTGGTCCAGGGCAGGGAGATGGGAGTGAGTCAGGGGTCTCCAGGACCAGCCCTCCATAGGACTGGTGAGCCCGGGATCCCCTTCCCCAGCCTCAGAGGGGTTTCACTGCAATCCAGGACCCCAGCCCCAGGGTCGAGGGGCTGGCCTCAGGGGTGCCCATCTGTTTGAGGTACAGTTCGGTGGTCACAGCCTGGGGACTGGGTCCAGCCCAGCCAGCTGGGCAGGAGGTCAGCAACCAGCTCGTTCCTGTGCTGCCGGGGCGGTGGGGCGCGGAGGGGCCCAGGCCCTCAGGTCACCACACAAAAGCTCCGGGTGATCCGCCTCCAGAAGTTGCGACCGCGGCTGCTGAGGGCCACCTCGGCCGCCTCCTGGAAGACGGCGTGGACGTTCTCCTGGAGCAGAGCCGAGCACTCGAGGTAGGCCACGGCGCCCACGGCCCGCGCCATCTCCTGGCCCTAGGAGGGAGCGCAACAGGGCTGCCATCAGCTGGCCGCCGCTGGGGGCCTCCCATCCAGCCGCACGCCCCCCAACCAGGCCCCTTGGCCGTCCGAGGCGCGCTCCCCTCGGGTGCCCACAGCTCTGGCCCCCAGGCCTGACCAAGCACCCTGATGGCTTCATCCAGTTTCCTGCCTCAGTTCTTGGCTGGGTCTCTGCCTCTCCAGGTACCAACTAATTAACTTCCCGGCCTGACCCAGGTGTCCCAGAGAGGGGCCTGCGGACTAAAGAGCTAGGGGGAACCCCTGGCTGTGAAGTGGGGAGGCAGGACCATCTGATGTGCACTCCACTCACTCTCCATCCACACTGGAAACTTCCAAGCCTGGCAGTTCTTGACCACGGCTGCTTCCAAAACACCCCCCACCCTGCTCCACATCCTGTGTGTGCTGAGAGGCTGGGCCGAAGTGGCATCAGCCCGGGGGTGCCCTCTCCTGCCCCCCACCCCACCCCACCCTGGGCTGCGTCTCCTACCCTGTGGTAGGTCACAGGTTCCAACCCGTTTTTCCGAAGCTTTTTCACCAGCGACTTGTCCTTGCGCAGGTCAGTCTTGCAGCCCACGACGACGATGGGCACCTCCTTGCAGAAGTGATTCACCTCTGGGTACCACTGTGGGGAGAGGGGTGGTGAGGGCCTGTGTGAGCCATCGGTGGAGCGGGCCGCGTCCTGACCTCCAGGTGGACTCTGACAATGATACTTAGCGCAGCCAGCTTCGGGAGCACTCTTGGCGCTAGTGGTAATGCAGTGCCGATGCAGGAGACAGGTTCAACCTGCCGATGCAGGTTCAATCCCTGGGTCAGGGAAGATCCCCTGAAGAAGGAAATGGCAACCCACTCCAGTATTCTTGCCTGGAAAATTCCATGGACAGAGGACCCTGGCGGGCTACAGTCCATGGGGCTGCAAAGAGTCAGACATGACTGAGCAACTGAGCAAGGGAACAATTCACTGGCTAAGTACCTAAGAAGACAAGGGACTCTGGGCCAGGCTAAGACTTTACACATAATGAACACACGAACCCCCAAGTCTCCGTGAGGCAAGTTCTGTCATCAGTCCCATTGCACAGATGCACTCACTGAGGCGCAAAGAGGCTCTATAACTTGGGCTTGGTCACAAGACCAGAAGTGTTAGAATTTGAATTCAGAGGTTAGTGTCCAGAGCCCTGTCCCCACCTGCTCTGCAAGGTAAGGGATCCCAGGACCATCTCCCCAGTGCGGCAAAATTTATAAAGAAATAGGCTCTAAAACTAAAGCCGCTCACGAAACGCTTGCAGCAGCTGTTGGCCTGTCGGAGGGGGCACTCCTGTCCTGCCAGCTGCTCTCTGGAATGCGAGGCCTCACGGCTGGGTTATTTCAGTCTGGATCATAACCCAGGAGCCTGGAACCAGCAGCGCACGCCGGCTCAGTTTCAGGGAAAACCGGCATCAAACTGTCTGGCTTCTGGAGACACATGGGGTCTATATGGGGTCCCAGCGACCCTCCCATCCACAAAACTGCCCTTGACAAGGGTCTTTTCTCTGACTCCACTTTGCTAAGTCCAACAGGGCATCTCATCACACCTCGTCCTAGCTAAGCCCTGGCATCAGCGATCATTCCATCCTCTGAAAGCTGGTTGGCATGGTGCCCCAGGGCCCCACACTCCTGGTTGTCCTCAGGTCTCCAGGTGACAGCTCCCCTCTGCCTCCCACCCCCAGTCCACAGCTCTTCCCCACCAGCAGCTCCTAAATGGATCTACTGAGCCCTGCCCCCTCCCAGGAACCGCAGACTCAGACTTCCGCCTGCCCCTCCACCGGGATGTCCAAGGGGCCTCCACAGCCCACCTCTCTGCCCTCAGCCTGCTCCTGCTCATCTTGGGAAACGGCAAGTCTAACCTTCCAGGTGCTCTGAGCGAATGTCTCTCTCCTACCCACGTCCAATCCATCTGCAAACCCTGGTGGTTCGGTTCTACCTTCCAGATTCGGTACCCACTCACCTCTCACCACCCCCTGGTACCCTGGTGTCAGCTTGGTCCTTGGTGCCTAGAACAGTCTTGGCACATAGAGGTACCTTCTGAATGACTGCATGGAGCAGACTAGTTCAAGTCCCAGGGTTACCACTTTAATAGTTGTATATCTTAGAGCAAGGGCCCCAATCTGGGGACGATAGTATCTGCTCCATAAATTTTTTTTTTTTTTTTTTTACTTTTTGGTTATACTGTGGGGCATGCGGGAGCTAAGTTCCCTGACCAGGGATTGAACCTGCACCCTCTGCAGTGGACGTGCAGTGTTAATCACTAGACCACCAGGGAAGTTCCTCCATAACATTTCTAGGTTAGCTGAGTAAATATGTCAGCGCTCAGAACTGTACCTGGCCCGTATTAAGTCCTCAGTAAATGCTGCCATCAACGTTGTGGTTATAGTTACTACGGCTGTCACTAGTTGTGTCCTGATGGGCCCTGGAGATGCCCTTCACACATGCCTGGAGGCCCTGGCAGCGGGAGCTGCTGGCCGGAGCAGAGGAACTCCAGGGGCCACGTCCCCAACACCTGTGAGCAGCCTTGGGGACCTCTACTGTGATCAGGGGGTGTCCTGGGTAGCCACTGGGAGCCAGCGGTCAGGCTATGGGAAGCTGACAGTTCCTGTGACCTCTAACAGGCCCGGACTGCGGAGAGGCAGGGGCGACTGGGTCGCCCCACATCCTCAGGCAGGGTCATGGTAGAAAGGCCTCGGCATTCTGAGCCTGCGGTATGGGCAGGCAGGAAGTACTGGACTGGGAGCCAGAGGTCTCGCCCAGACCCTGCCACCAGATCCCTGTGGGACCTTGGGTAAGCCGCTCTGGGCCTCCATTTCCCCACGGTTACGCCAAACACACTGGACCACACATCATCCAGGCCCTGCGAGGTTCTGACAGTCGGCTGGGTCCAGGTCAGGGGCGGAGCAGAGTGGCCTGGCCACGGGGCTCTGCCTCCTGACAGTCGGCTGGGTCCAGGGCAGGGGCGGGCAGAGTGCCCTGGCCACGGGGCTCTGCCTCCCTGTCCATCCCTGCCTGCACCCCGGTGCCACCTACCCGGTTAGCGATGTTGTCGAAGCTGTGAGGACTGGTGACGTCAAAGCAGAGAAGCAGGACGCCGGCGTCAGGGTAGAAGAGAGGCCGCAGGCGGTCATAGTCCACTTGCCCTGGTAGAGCGGGGGGCGGTCACTCCCTCCAGGTCTCCGGCCCACTGTCAGCACGTCCCCACATCAGAGAGGCCACCCCAACCAAGACCAGGGGGGCGGGTGTGAGCTGAGTGGGTGAACTAGACCAGGGCCTAGTTCTGCTCCTCGGAGTCCAGCCCGTGAATGATCCCCCTGGGGCCATGTCCCCCTGGCCGGCCTATGGGGTGTGCCAGCCCCAGCCTGGGTGAGACCACTTGATGAGAGCCCTGTCCTGGCAGAAGTAGGGGGTTTCTGAGGCCCCCGCTCAGAAACCTGCTTTGCCCTGGGCTTGGGGGAGCTGGGGGATGAGGAGAAAGAGGCAGACGGGACCTGGGCCAAGATGTCACAGCCCAACAAGGTAAGGGGGCTGTTGGATTCCCTGAGTTTAGCTTTGAATTCTTTTTTTTTTTTTTGATCTGTGGGATCTTAGTTCCCTGACCAGGGATTGAACCCAGGCCTCCTGCAGTGGAAGACAGAGTTGTAACTGCTGGCCTGCCAGGGAAGTCTCCTAGCTTTGAGTTCTGATGTAGTTGACTTTGAACCTTCTTGTGGGCAAGGTCAGGAAGCTGGAGGTCAGAAGTCAAGGTCGAACAATCTTATAAGAGCTAAAGCCAGGGTGGACCGCTCAGGAGGCCAGAAACAGTCCGCCTCTCAAGAGCCAGGAGTTCCACCTCGTCTCCAGGACCCAGTGGGCTGCCCTGGGTCAGGGGGGCTACAGAGAGGAGGGTTCAGGCCGACACCCGTCCCCTGGAGACTGCTCGGCCTCCCCGGTTCAGAAGGAAGGGGGTGGGGCCCCTCCCCCCACCCTGCCCCTCCCCCAGCCAGCCCTGCACCCACCTGCTGTGTCCCAGATTTGGAGGTGGATGGGTTTGCCCTTCACCTGCAGATTCACGGCGAGCCGCTCAAACACTGTGGGGGTGTAGCTCTGAGGAAGAAGGATTTGGGGGTGGTTAAGAGGGCAGCTTCTGAAGGGCGGTGGTATGGGCAACCAGGCCAGAGCCCAGGAATGCCCGAGGCATAGCCCCTTTGGCAGTCAGCAGAGCGGGTGGTTTCTGGGAGGGAGCTGGCTGGTGGGGTTCAGACCCAGAGAGGACACTTTGCAGCTGTGCACCCCTCCAAGGCACCGAACCTCCCTGGGCCCCTCTGAGACTGTAGAGTGGGTCTCCCAGAGCACCCACCACAGCAGGTTGCTGTAAGGATTCAATGCGGAGCTTCACATGGTGCCCCGAGCCCAGGGCCTGGTACAGACTAACATTCTACAGGTGCCAGGACTGCTATTTTTATCTTTGTCCTCGTCCAGACTGTCCCATTTCCGAGCCTTCCTTCCTGCTGTCTCCGCCTCCTAGAATGACATTAACCTACGTTTGTTCATTTACTCACTCACTCATTCATTCATTCACGAACACCTTCTCCGGGTCTGATTCTGGACATCAGGAGCAAGTAATAAAGACTCATTGCCTACCCTGGGGAGCTTCTAGCTTTTGGTCAGGGAAGGGGGGTTCCCCTCTTTAGCCTCTCAACCTCTCATAATCCGACCAGGCTGCTCCTGTTTCTATCTCTCTTACCTGCCCTGCCTGGCCCCAGGGGGAGATCACCTGGCCAGGGGCCCCTCCACCCCAGGCCCACTAAGGCTAAGCTCGCCCCCTCTCCACAAAGGGCGGATGACTGGGAGCAGGAGGGGCTTTTACAGAAGTGCAGGAACGAAGAGAGGGAGCTTGTACAGAGGGGGGCTGAGCAACAGTGGGGGAGGTTTTCACACCACAAGCCCTTTGCACCAAGCGGCACGCTGGACCCCCTGCCTTTTGGGTACCCACGTCTTGCCCCCTTGCTCAGGGCTGGGCAGTGGGGCCATAGCCCAGGGGACCCTATTCGCCCCTCTTCCCATGCCAGGTGGGGCCCCCACCTTCCCGTGACTCAGGAGGACTTCGAGGCTGCCTGCCCGCCGGCCCTCTGAGTCAGGCCCTGGCCACTGGGAGTGGCAGTCCCTTAGAAGAGGGTCAGCCATGTCCTTCCAGGGCACTTGGGAAGCAGCGGTGGGGAGGGTGGGGAGAAAGGTGGGTCACAGAGCAGGCAACCAGGCGGGATGGAGAAGTCAAGGATGGCCCTGGGGTCGGCCACCCTGGACTCTAGTCACTGGCACTTCCTCTACTCACAGACTCGGGCTGCCCGTTCCTTCCCATGCCCCCTCCCCTCAGGCCTGGTGGGGGGCAGTGTGACACGGTGGCTATGTGCCACACAGCATGTAGGATCCCAGTTCCCCAAGCAGGGATTGAACCTGCACCTCCTGCAATGGAAGAGCAGAGTCTTAACCACTGGACACCAGGGAAGTCCAAGAAACACGGGCTTTGGAATGAGATACGCTTGGCTTGGGACGGGCTCTGGCACTCACTGTGTGACCTTGGGCCAGCGCCCTCGCTGGTTAAAGGAGGAGAGTATCTGTGTGTGACAGCGAAGGCTGGCTGGCAGGCAAGGTCAAATGCCCACTGCTTCGGAAGCTGGGTGCCAGGGGCAGCATCCACCCCTCCAGGAGGTGCCCCTTCCCCACCCCCACCCCCCAGCCTGTCACGAGGAGGTGCTGACATCTGTTGAGCTCCCAGCCTGGCTGCCCCCCGTGGCAGGACCCCTCCTGATCTGAGGTGCAGGGCAACCTGCCACGAAGTTCTTGGGAGACACACTTCAGGGCTCTGCAAGTGTCCGTGGAAATAACACTGTCACCCACATTCTCGAGGGATCTGCTGTGCGAGGCTCTTTATGGGCACCATCTCTGATCCTGGTAACCTTGGAAAGTCGGTACTATCTCCATGTTCTCTTTTTTGGCCTCACTCACCATGTGGGATCTTAGTTCCCTGGCCAGGGATTGAACCTGCGTCTCCCGCAGTGACAGCGTAGGGTTCTAACCACTGGACAACCAGGGAAGTTCCCCTCACCCCATTTTCCTGTTGAAGACGCTGAGGCCCAGAGAGGGGAAGTGACTGGCCCACAGTAACACACTAGACAGATGGCTGAGGATGGGGCCAGGTCAGACCCTCCTCACCTGTCTCTCCTAAGGTCACCTACTCTAGCCCCTGGCACCAGAGCTGAGCAGGAAAGCCCCATTCACGGAGTGGGACTGGGTTCTCCACTCTGGAATGTCATCCCGCAGACTCCATTGACACCTTCTGTCTTGTTCTTTGAACCCCCCAGGCAGGGTTACTCTCTGCCTGCAGGACCAATAAGCACCTAATCTTATCTGTCCTCCTGCAGAAAGACAGGGCTGGGCCCAGCTAGACCAGGGCAGATGACTCAGGCTTGGGTCTGACCTCACAGCGCTCACAGATGGAGAGATGGACAGATGGACAGATGGGCCATCACAGCAGAGGAGACGCAGCTCGAGAGAGGAGACCCAGGAGTTTCCCCGGGGAAGCACACCCATGGGAGCCCCAGCGGGGGGCCAGGAAGAACTCGGCTGGCCCTGGAAGGTCAGCTGGTGCGCCCAGCTCCGTTGCACCCTGACCCTGCTGTGGGGCCCCGAGGCTTCTGGCCCTGTGGTTGCGGTTGTTGCCCTGAGTGTCAGGGGCCGGTGCCCAAGCAGGAGTCCCCCAGCCTCGGGAGCTTTCTCTCTACTCTCCAGCCCCGAACCTGAAGTCGGACCACAGCCAGACAAGGCTCACTGAGGCCCTCCAGACCCCTAAGGCCCTCCAGATCCCAGCCTGCTCTTCCCTGCAGGCAGGAGGCCTGGCATACGGGACCCCAAGTCGCCTAGCTGCTGGCTCCCTGGGCTTGGAGGGCTGTCAGGAGGAGGGGTCCAGGGCCAGGACAGGAGGAGGCTGGTCTGGCAGGCCAAGCTCTGGGGGGCTGCGGAGGATGTCCTGGTCACGGCCAGGAAGACCTGGGTTCTAGGCCAGTGCTCTCATGGGCGGGCCCTGTGCCCCGAGGCCAGACTCTTCTCTCCGGCCGCTGTCTTTCCAGCTATAAACTGAAGGCCTTTTCTGCTCTCAGACCTTGTGCTTCTTTAAATGAAGCATCTCTTTTGCGCCTGGAGGCAGACAGGTCCCTGGGAATGAGGATCCCCAAACGGGAGGACCGGTGGCAGGGCAGCACCCTGGTGACAATCATGTGCTCCCTTTCCCTAACACAAACTTCATTCACATCAACTGGGAATGCCTATTTCCACACTGCAGCCTCTGCCGTTGGTATGGGTCTCACCCTTGAGGATGTCTCAGAGCCCAGGACAGTGGCGATGAGGTACTCCCACCCCCCGCCCCCATCCAGGCCCCTCTCCCAGGCCCCTTTCCCAGGCCTCAGGTCGCCCAGCTTCTCTGTGGAGCTCCCCGCAACTCTGCCATAATTGCTGGGTTTGGGTTCTCACAGGCAGCATCTGGGGGCCCGGAAACACATCCCTCCCCGCAACTAAAAAAAAAAAAAATGTGACTGGCCAAAGGACATGACGTCAGCTCCCAAAACCACAAAGCAAGAGTTGGCTTGATGCTACCACAGTGGAAAGAAAGGCTGACTCCGTTAGCAGGCCGGGCCTCACCAGCCTCCCCCATCCAACTCTCACCGCCACCACGAGTTGAGGGTGCAGCGATCTAGGGGAGGGGGCGGTGCTGCTGCAAGGGGACCCATGGACTCCAGGGGAACTGGGCCGAGGGGGTGCACACTGGGTGGGTTTCACCCTGCCCTGGGGCCGGCAAGTCCGCCTGGACAGGCGGTGGGCATGCTGGGGAGGGAAAGACAGTCCATGTGCCCAGGCATCGACATGCCAGGTACCACCCGGGGCCGTGTCTTAGCTTTGCCTTAATGCTACCTCACCACCACCCTCGGGTGTCTCCACCCAGGGAGGTCGCATGAGGGATTGGAGGCTCACAGAGGCTGAGCAAGGCACGGTGGGCCCCAGCTGGGGGAGACCAAGATGCCAACCCAGCTGTCTGACGAGGTTGCTGCGTTCTGACCCTCTAAGGCTGAGCCCACGGGACAGCCATCGTAGGGGCAAGAGCTGGGTGCAGACGCGATGTCTCCCAAGAAGAACGTTTGCCACTTTTCAGTGGGTCCTTCCTGCTGCAGCTCAGCCCCTGACCTGTGTGAACTCACTCATTTCTGCGACCCTGCGAGCTGGGCACCATTGCTATTCCTATTTTGCAGGCACAGAGTAAGGGGCCTGTCCGAGGGCGCCCAGCTGTAAGTCCCAAAGCCAGGATTTGAGGCCAGGCGATCTAGCTCCCCCGAGAGTGGTCAGATCCTCTTAGCCAAGCGGTGCCACCGAGGGCTCTCTTAGGACCCGCAACGTCCCCAGGCCGCCCAAGTCCGTCCCCAGACACCTCCCCCTGGTAGGTGCTGTTCTTGGCACTTTACAGACGATGCCACTGAGTCCTTCACTCCCGGGGGCACGGTGAGAACTGCTTTGGACCCCAGGCTCTGCCGGGAGGCAGGACGGGTGCCCGTCCCTCCCTCCTCGGGGGGCAGGAGGCGCCCGGGGGCCACACTCACCTCGGGGAAGGCCCCCTCCGCGAAGACCATCAGCAGCGACGTCTTCCCGCAGCCGCCGTCGCCCACGAGGACCACCTTGACCGACCGCGCGCCGCCCGGCGCCTCCTCGCCCGGGGCCTGGGCCGCCTTCATCGCGGGGCGCGGAGGGACGGAGGGAGGGAGGCAGGGAGGCAGGGCCGGGGCGAGCGGAGCGGCGGCCGCGGGGCCGGCGGGGCAGGAATGTGGAAGGGGCGGGGCGGCGGGAGGAAGTGCGGGCGGCGGGCGGCCCAGGTGAGGGGCCGGCCGGGCGCATTCCGCGGCCCTGCCCCTCCCGTCCCATGGCCCGCGGCCCGGGACCCAGGCGGCCCGAGACAAACCCTTCTTGAATCCCTGCTCTGTGGGGCCCTCAGGCTGCAGGAAGTGGAGGACCCAGATCTGGCCTAGGTCGCTCAGGAGCGCACCCCGGTCTGAGGCAGAGAAGGCTGGCAGTTGGGCAGTGACCGGGTGGACGGGGACAGACGAGGCTTCTGCCCACTTGTTGCCGAGCAGGGAGGTGGGGGTCAGCCCTCCTGGCCCACCAACTTGGTGGGGGGCAGGGACGGGTCCTTAGTGCCTAGTCTCTGCAGGGCACGGAGCAGGAACTGGTGACTTTTGGTGGATGAATGAATGAGTGAATGAATGAATATGCATCCCCTCCCCCCCATCTCCCTGGAGGCAAAACACCCCACAGCCCTCCTGCAGGTGTTCCAGGGCAGGTGGGAAGGGGGTGACCCGGGCAGCCAGCTAGACCGCCCCTCCCCCAGCCAGTACCAAGACTTCTCACTAGCAGTGGGTCTCCCCTCTGCCTGGGGCATGGCCTGGGGAGTGATGGAACCTTCCATCTGTAAAGTGCTCAGAGCAGGGTCTGATACATGGTCGGTGATGTCATGTGTGACTCTTGCTATGTAACCAACACTGATGACCGCCTGTGCTCAAGGGCCTGGGGACTCTGAACTGTAGAAGTTCAAGTCTCTCACAGGGACTTCGCTGGTGGTTCAGTGATTGAGAATCCGCCTTCCAATGCTAAGGATGTGAGTTCAATCCCTGGGTGGGGAACTTAAGATCCCACGTGTGGGGTGACTAAGCCCCTCGAGCCACAACGAAAGACCCTGTATGCTGCAACTAGGACCTGATGCAGACAAATAAATAAATTAAAAACAAAAAAAAGTCCCTCATAGCCTAGAATGGGAGACAAGCAGGATGTATCAGTGTGATGAGAGCTCCAGCGATGGCCGTCACAGGCAGTGGACGGGACTCAGGAAGAAGGGCCCCGCACTCAGGCTGGGGGTGGTTAGAGAGAGGGGCCAGAGTCTGGGGGAAAAGTGAAACACAATTAGATGGGGGAAGAGAAGAGGGTTCCAAACGGAGGGAACAGCGTGTGTAAGGTACAGATGTGTGTGGGGGGGGTTGTTTGCAGTGGAAGCGGGTGCAGTCCTCCCCTATGGTGATGGGTGAGGTTGGATTAGGGAGCTGGTCCTGGGGGTGAATTTGAGGGTTAAATGGGGCCTGGATAGTGGAGCACTTTGGGCACCAGGAGTTAATACAGAATTGAACTGGAAACTCACTGTCACCTGACCTCCTATTCCAGTTGTGTCTGCTTAGTCACTCAGTCATGTCCAACTCTTTGTGAACCCGTGGACTGTGGCCCGCCAGGCTCCTCTGTCCATGGAATTTTTCAGTCAACCATACTGGAGTGGGTTGCCATTTTCCTCCTCCGGGGGATCTTTCTGACCCAGGAATCCAACCTGCGTCGTCTTCTGGATCGGCAGGTAGATTCTTTACCGCTAGCAACATCTGTGAAGGCCTCCTTCTCCTGTTAGCAGCCAGAATTGAATATATATATTTCTAAAATGAGCACAAGGACCTCCCCAGATCATGGACTGTTTTCACTGAAGCTCAGAGAAACAGGGCAGGAGTCTTGGGGTTTTTCACCTTCCCCCACACAGGTCATGACATCATTCCTCACACAGTTCCAAGCCAAGAGGTGAGAAACCACTCTCAGCCCCCTTAAACCTCACCGTGGCCCAAAGAGGCAGCTTGGGCAAGAGTCACCACCCGTCTGCTGAGCGGCAAAGCCCAGGGTGCTGACTCCTGTTCCAGGCTCAGCCAGGGCCATGGTCAGTAGGCCGAATGAAGCCTCACCTGGATGGAGGGAGCACCCCAGGACATCCCCTTCCTCCCCGAAACTGCCAAAGGGCTGGGCAATGACTTGGCACCGGACTGGGTGTGTAGCCACTGATCAGGGCTCCCCGCCCCAAGGAGTGGTGGGGAGGAACCCCACCCCCAACAATCAGCTGTCGGCCTCGTCATCCCCTAGGCTCCCCTGATGACTGCTGTCATCAGGCATTGGGTGGCAAGGCTGGGAGGCAGGTGGGGCAAGACTAGGGGTGGAGGGAGCTGAGAGTCAGGCAGAGGTGTTTGACCTTGGTTGCTACGGGGATAATCACTCTAATGACACTCTTGATGTGTGTCATGCTTTAGAGTTTCACTGAACATTTCCTAATAGTAACAGCACCCATCAATGGACTGCCAACCGTGTGGAGGCTCTTCTGCCCCCTAGCAGGTGGGGAGTGTTAGCCCCATTTTACAGATGGGGCACTTGAGGTCCAGAGAGGTTTAAACTCTTGTCTAAGGTCCACAGCCAGCACGAGGCAGAGCTCGAATTGGAAGCCGGTTCTGACTGCAGAGCCGGGCTTTCTCTCTCCCAACATCACACCTCATATGCGTTATTTCCTCTAGTGCTCAGACTGTGAGCTGGGCAGAGTGAGGAATCGGAGTCCCCCATTCTACAGATCTGGGAACTGAGGCTCAGAGAAAGGCAGTGGCTTGTGTCAGGCTAGCACAATCCTGAGCCAGGATTTCAACCCACGTCCCCTGATGTTAAACCCAGCCTCACTCTCACTCTATGCTCCTGCTTCTGCCAGACGGAGATTTAGTCACTGGCCAGAGAATCTGCCCCGCTGCCAGGGAATTTCCCCAAATCTGAGACATTGCTGGGCCCAGGATGGTGCTGTTTGGTTGAGGTTTGTTTTGGATGAAGAGGTGGCCCGGGTCATAGTCGGCCTGATCAGGGTACTGTTTGCTGTTTTCTGGTTTTCAGTCGCTGCTGTTCACCACCAGCTTGTGGGTGACTCAGCCCTTTGAGACCCCAGGAGTCCCAACCCCAGAGTCCTCCAGCACCCTGCTCAGCGGGTCACTGACCTGCAGACCCCAGGTCCTTGGCCTGAGGCGGAAGTCCTTCCTTCAAATGCAATAGCCAGGCAGCCTCTCCTGGCCCCCTGCCGAGCCTTGAGCACCCCAATGGCAGGGACCGAGGCCCACCCACCTCTGTCCCCTAGATGGGAGTCCTGCCCCAGACTGGAACCTACTCGTGGCTCAGGATGTTAAGTCCAGTTGACTGGCTGGACAAATAGGGAAAAGGAAGGCAGGTGAAGGAGCGAGGGAGAGAGAAACAAAGGAAGATGGGCTGACTCAAAAGAATAAACAAACTGAAGAAATAAAGAAAGGACCAACAGTTGCTTGGCTGAATGAATTCAGAATGTGACCTGAGTGCGGGGTCAGCAGACAGGTGACTACCCTCCGGCCCCCATCTGCTCCAAGGCCCCCCCATGGCCCTGGCCCATCTGCCCCATTTTTGACGGTCCACCCCCATCCTCGTGAGGCCGGAACTCCCTGCTGTCGGGGCCAAGTCTCTGCTGCCGCCGTGTGGCCACTCTGCTCCCTGCACCGTCAATATGCAGGGCTGCGGGCTCTGTTTGGTGTTCCTGGCTTGTGCTGTGGGGCGTTCATGGAGGGGGATGGAGGCACCTGGAGTGGGTACCATGGGGGTGGAACTTCAGAGGCCTGGTCCTGCGTTCTGCCCTTTGGGATGTCTTGGCAGGGAACACAGACGCTTTGCTCTTCAAACCTCCCAATGTCCCCCACCTCCACTCCTTTTCATCCCAAACAGCAGTTCCCAGAGCTCCAGAACCCCTCCACACAAAGCCTTGGCCTCACGTTTCCTGAGCACCCACTGTGTGCCAGACGCTTGACATGTGGCATTTCATTCTATCCTAAGAGCTTCCTATGTGGCTCAGCTGGTAAAGAATCCTCCTGCAATGCAGGAGACCTGGATTCGATCCCTGGGTTGGGAAGATCCCCTGGAGAAGGGAAAGGCTACCCACTCCAGTATTCTGGCCTGGAGAATTCCATGGACTGTATAGCATAGCCCATGGGGTCGCAAAGAGTTGGACACGCCTGAGCGATTTTCTATCCTATGGAGTATGTTTAATTCCTATCCTCCTTTGACGAGTGAGCAGACTGAGGCCCAAAGGGGACAGATAATTTGCTCAAGATCCCACAACTGGTACGTGGGGGTGCGGGTGCCTTCAGAGACCTTCTTGATTAATATGCCCATTCTTCAGATGGGGAAATTGAGGCTCTTGAGAGGAAGGAATGTCTCACAAACAAGTAAGCAGCAGACTCAGTCTGTGGCACGTGGAACCCAGAAGGGCTTCTTGTCCCAAGTTTCCTTCTGTCTGGGCTCCCCAGACCCACGCAATGCCTGTCGCCATTTAACTGGAGCTCAGGGCTGGAGGCGCAGGCCTCTCGTCCCTGCTTTGCTTTTACTGACCCCTCTGGCTGGGACGGGAAGGTTGATAGTGGGGTGGCGGGGGTGGGGGGCAGATGGAGAGTGAGGCAGGCCTGTGGCCCAGCCCGAGTGTCCATTTGGCTTTTTGGTCTGTCCCTTCAGGGATCTGCAGTCGTAGGCGACAAGGCGGGAGAGAGGAAGGGAGAGTTTGAGCTGCTGTAGCGACTCCTCCTGCCCCTCCCACGTGCAGGCCTGGCCCCCCACTGCCGCTGTCAGAACGGTGACCCCCACACCTGGCCTCTTGGGTGGGGCTCGGCCTATTCCGGAGGGCTCCCAGACAGAGGGGCCTGGGACCCTTGAGGCCTGGGGCTGGAGGAGCAGGGGAAGGTGGGATGGAAGGGGAGGAAGGGGCGGGAAGAGATGGGAGACCGTGGTATGGGCCCTACTGAATGACCCTAAAACCTAAAAGCAGCGGGGCTGCTCCTCACTGCCGGAGAGCAGGGCTCGCTGACAATCCTCGTCATGACTCCCAAAGCTGCTTAGA